TTATAAGTATGTCATGTCAAGTACAGAAAACCAAGCATTGTTTGCCAATTGATCAATCAAGTGAAAGAGAGACAGGAAAACCATGTGGTTAAAATGCGAAAGAGAGACTTTGATGTTAACAATTCCATGGAATGGAAACTTACCTTCTTTCTAGATCTTGCAGTGAACATTTTGATTGATGCTGCTATCTGTGACTGTGCAGTTCCTGCACCATTTTTAGTTTTTAAATGTATTAGAGAACTTACACAAACCTTTTCCTCTGATAATTTAAATATTACCAGTAAGCCTTTTCATGAATTTATAGTGTTTTGTTCAAAATATTATCACTATAAATTTTATGCCACTGGCCCCAACTACTTGGGATTAAAGTGCTGATTATGATGATAATAATGATGTGCATATACGCAAAACTTTTGAACATACCATTACTTTCGAGCTTGTTACCATTTGAATCGGGAAATGTTTCTGACAGTGAGTCATTTGTATTCTGGGATTGAAAAATATATATGTAAGCCCTGGATAACCAATGGAACCATGATTGTAGTGATGAAGGTACAACGAAGAAGCACTTACAGAAATTAACAGATCGAGATCATTCATTGTTGGAGGATCCACATAGCGCATTCCAGCTATAAAATGAAAAAAGTAATAAAGAAATACGGAGTATAAGAAAATGAGAAGAGAAAGAGAACAGTTTAGCTCAAAACAATAGTTCCAGTTCTCAAGCATATTTGTAGACCATTTATAGGGATACACCCAATCAGTTATACTCCGTATCACTTATCTGTTTCCCCCAGAACCAAAACTGAACATTACAAGATTAATAAAGATTAATTCACTCGCCTGCGGTCTTAAGGAGATCTGAGTTCAGCTCTCTCCCTTCTTGTGCCAAAGATATCAACTATAACAACATGTAGAAGATAATTGTTTAGAATCGCAAGGCATTAATGTATGATAGAATGAGTTAACGTATATAAATTACCTGCATGGCTGTAATAAATTCATTGATGCCTAAATATCCTTGACGTTTGGAGTCAGCAAGAGCCCAGACCTGAAAGCACCAAGCACACAAGTATAATTGAGTACAAATTGAAGAAGCTAATGGCCAAATAGAGCAATTCTCTTCATTTATTTACTAATAAGAAGTAGATTTCACAATTCAGTGAGACATTTTATCATGTATCTGCAGATATATCACCGCCATTCAAGATCACTTTAAAGATAAACTCAAAATTACTCATCCTCATATATAAATGGTATTACTATTTAGTGCAAATTTCACTATATGGAATCGAACAAAACGAATAATCCATCAGCCCTGCAAATTCGCGCAAATTTATGAGCACACTACGAATCTACAATAGCAGAACAGATGAACCAACAAAAAAGGAAAACAATGGGAGATCAATCTTCCTTAACCAAATTAAGCGTCATGTTTAAGTTCATATGTCAAATGAGAGGAACGAGAGCCTCGCATCAACAGGCTACAGCCATAAGAAAAAAAAGGATGAGAGGCTACCTGCTTCAGTTGAAGTTTACTGAGATTGGACAATGCAAAAAGCTTGGTGGCGTCACTTCCAGTAATGCGACCATCTCCGTCTGCATCACAAACAAGGAGAATCCAGAAATCGAATCGCCATCATTTCGTCAACAGAATCAAACTCACAAACGGAAAAAAAGCAAAGCAGAACGATACGGATTTATACAATATATACTTGTGGAAGAGAAGATCGGACCTGAATCGGCTAAGTTAAACCAGTTCTGATAGAGCTTCTGCTGCTCTTTCGTGCACGAAGTGAAAGGACCTGAAGCGATCTCCATTTTCCCGTGTCTTCTTCAGTTCTTCTTCGGATCTTCTTCCTCTTCTTCTTCGCCTGGTTGTTTAAGACGAAGGAATGGCGTTCTGGTGAAACTCTCGCAGTGTGTGAGTTTGTTTCAACTAGTTGCCTGTGGGAGCGGAAGGAGATTCAAATTTTAAATACTCCAACGTTTTCTGAATCTCGGTAAAGTTGTTGCGTGAAAACAGCACGCTTTTCTGCTGATAAAATTAAGTTAATAAATGAAAAATGGTAGGAGTACACCAAAAGTGTACTCCAAATATCCCTATCCCCTCCATCATCACACAAAAAAGCAAGAAAATTTCAAAAAAATGTAAAAAATAAAAAGAAAATAAAATGAATGGTGTAGAGGCAAGTAGTGTATATTTAGGGTACACTTTTAGTGTACCCCTAGCATATCCCTTAATAAATTCACAACAAAAAATAAATATTCTCTTCCTCCAACAATAAATTTTTCAGTTATTATTACAGTCTCTCGATAATTTATATTTATTTTTCATATATTCATCAATCATTTGATACATTAAGTATATTTGTCATATCTTTTTTTAAACTTTTTATGTAATTTTAAACGATATAATTTGTACTTTTTATGATATACAGAGTATCAATTTATAAATAAAGTAATTTTAAAAAAGATGGAACTTTGAACGTTGTTCAACATGAAAAATTTATTGTTAGATAGATGAAGTATTTCGTTTCTCTCAGTTTAATTTAGATATTTTGAGTTCATATAATTTTAAAAAGCAAATTTGGTTAGTTCAAATTTCTATAGAAGAAAGAGAATAAATATGGATTACATCTCTTTTATATTATTAGCAAAGTAAAAAAGTGTACACTGTATAAATTTTTTAGAACGATCTAAAAAAGGAATTTTTTTTTTGAAAAAGGAAAATGTATTGATTAATTCTAGATTAATAAATAAACTCACTTCTTGATGTAAATAGTCAAAATCTCATAGAGCATTTACTAAGAATCTAACTTATTCTTTTTTAAAGCAATAAAGATATTTTTAAGATATGAATGAATTTATGTGACATCTTTTTTTGACAACTTACGAAGTAATGTATAGATGATAGATGTATGTCATTTGATGTTTGGAGCCCATTCGAAATGCATTCATTTTACTTATATCTCATGAATTAATTTAGTCAATGCTAAATTATTTTTAATGATGAAAGCCTAACTGGTTATATTATCTAATTAAGTTGAGTGTTTGTTTGAGTATTTAAATTTAGAAAAATTTGAATCTTGAAAAGTCAATGGGTTAGTTTTAGAGTTTTTTCGTGTCATTTATCTCTGAACTCTTGATAAATTTTACTCGTATTTTTTTCCCTTGAATTTTAAAAAATGAATGAGTACTCCTTGAACTTTTCATAAGTTGAATGCTTCACCCTCAAACTCTTTAAAAAGTACGGAGTATATGTTTCTTCCCAAACTTTAAAAAATGTACCAATTGTCAATATACTTTTCATATAGTGCATAATTAGTGCCCAAACTTTTAAATGTCCATTATTATTATTATTATTATTATTATTATTATTATTATTATTATTATTATTATTATCTTTTTATTCAAATTTGGTTATATTAAAGACATTTGTTCAACAAAAAATTTAGGACAAGAAAACATATACTCCGTACTTTTTAAATAGTTCATGGGTGAAACACACATTATTAAAAGTATGTGGGTTAATGATGCATCTTTAAAAATTCGAGAGAAAATATGCATTTTTACGAAAATTTTAAGGGCAAATGACGCATTATTCTCAATTGTTCTATAATAAACTCTCATGCATTAATCAATAGAATCTTTGATCGAGTTATTCATCAAGTCGTGGAACGGGTTGATGAACTGATTTGATAGATTAATACTCCGTATTTGACATGGTTGTTTGTTCGATTTGATGCCCGGTCTAGTTTTTAGAATATTGATATTTTTCCAGGGAGTGGTTTAATATGACAAATATATTACGGAGTATAAATAAATAAAGATATATTTGATGAGTTATAGAAGACTGATACAATATAAGTTTTAAATATGAAAATTTCATAGAGGAATGAAATATGAAACCAAAGTATTTGAAAAGATATGAAATGATGATTGTTAGTGATATGTAGGGTGATCGACGATTGATAGGGATATTAAAAACTCCTCATTTGGAAGAATTGTTATACTCCACTAAATATCGATATCGGAAAATATTAGAATCCGTATCTTATGCACTCATCAAGGGGGCTCAAAATATTACGGAGTAAACAAAAATGTTGTAGATTATTTGAGAAATGCATGACTAGGACTAAAATTTGTTTCGTATATCAAGATTTTAAATATATAAAGATAGACACAAAAGAAAGATTATCAAAATAATATTTGATAATAGAAAACTAAACGAGGAAATGTTATACTCCCTCCGTCCTAATTCCACCTTCCCAGGTTGACTATATGCCATTTTTAAGGAAGTGTAAAATATGCATTGACTTTCCCAAAATGCCCCTAAACTCTTCCAGTTCACCCAACAATGCATAGATCTAAAAACACTCTAGCTACCATTTTTCAGAAATGGACTGCAACAAAAATAAAATGACATCCTTGAAGAAAAAAGAAATCTAAAATAAAAGATGGAGTAGAAAATCAAAAGTGTCGTGCAAACAAATGAGAACAGATGCAAAGCCAGATTTGCAGCTGTGGGGATAGAGAAGCCAGATTTCCAGATTTGCAGCTGCGGGGAGAGAGAAGCCAGATCTGCAGCTGCGGGGAGAGAGAAGCCAAATTTGCAGTCGCGCGAGGCCAGATTTGCAGCCACCGCCCACTGCACAGCCGCCAACGAGAAGCATCGGAGACATACCTGGCGCTGCTGACCAATATTAGCGAGTGAAGAGGAGAATTGGATCTAGGATTTTTGGAGGGAGGGAAGAGAGACACAGAGGGTCGATTAAAAGATGAGAGACGGAGGATGTCGATTGAGAGACGGATGATGGCTGAGGCATTGGGGATTATATGATGTAAGGGTATAATAGTCATTTTACACCTTTTTTTGAGAGTGGGAATGTAGTTTTAGGATGGGAAAAAAAAGAAGTGGAAAGATGATTTTAAGACAGAGGGAATATTAGAAATGACTAATTATGAAATTTAGCGTTTTTTTTTTGAAAAAATTAAAACTAGAAAGAGTTTGTATTAATTTTGAATTTTTGACCGGTGACAAGCTCGCCTGCCCGCCTAAAACGTGGTTGTTTTCCACCCTCACACAGTCGTTCCCTCTGAAAGGCGGACACATCACTCTCTTCTCTTCACCTCTCACAACAAATGGAGATGACATCGCCAGAACTTCCACCAGATCTCGGCGCGAAATGGACGGAGCTCTCACGGCGGGAGGATCAGGCACTGAGATCGGGGAGCCAGCGCCGTCGGAGAAATCGGCACCGGTAATTCCGAGAGAATTGCCGCCGCCTCAACCAGCGGCGCAGGGCGAAGGCTCGTCGATCCCGGCGCCGTCGATGGAGGAGCTCGATAAGGACGTGCTGTGTCCGATATGCATGCAAGTCGTCAAGGACGCGTTTCTGACCCCTTGCGGGCACAGCTTCTGCTATATGTGTATCGTCACTCATCTTAAGAACAAGAGCGATTGCCCCTGTTGCTCCCATTACCTCACGAAGAAACAGCTCTACCCTAATTTCCTCCTCAATAAAGTAAGAGCACAGTTTTCTTTCAAATTCATTTTGTTGCCAATAACACTTCCGATCCGTGAAGAGATAAAAATTGAAATCTTTTTTGCACATTTGTTTTTGCACATACTCAAAGCATTCACATCATAATATTTAGTGCATGCACATTCACGAGTCACATAATGCTCGCTAGACCGACAAGGAATCATTTTGTTTTGGTTCATCTAAACATTTCGATGGTGGGGTTGGATAATAAAATGGTTTCAGGGTTGTCAACAGTCTACCAAACACTTTAAGCTTATTTTCTGCAATTCTATCTAGGTAGGGTTCCACCCTTATTTTACATGGGTATCTTACTATTGCTTTGTTATTTTTGGCTGCATTAATACTTATAAAAAACTGTTTTGTTCAAATTGAAGTGCGCTGAAATATATACATTTCCATGTTGTAGTTATTGATGAAGACTACCGCTCATCATATTTCTAAAACTGCATTACCTGTGGAACAGTTTTGCCGGGCAATACAAGAGGTCAGTCATTATGCCATGCAGTTTAAATTAAAATAATATTTAATGATTTTTTTCCTATTGTAAGTCTTTAATGATGGATAAGTTAAAGAGATCCCACCAGATACTAAACTAATTTTATGATGGGGTAACTATAGTTAGTATCGCTCTCAAGTGATATATGAGGGAGAAGTTATTGTCTCCTTTTATCTATTTACCGCCTGTGAAATGTGTAAACATACAATGCTCAAGCACTAATAATTCATCATCATCATCATCATATTTAGATATGAATAATAAGAACTTGTCACACATGGGTATACAAATTTTAGTTTGGAGACAGTTAGACATGTTATATGTCACTACTATATGACAACTTCACAAGGTTTTTTGTGATATTGTGACAAAGTTCGTCATTGTAGTGTTTCAAATAACTTTCAATTTTTTGGTAAGGCATTTTGGCATTTATGTCATTTTCATTTCTAAAAATATAAAATTACAAAATAAGTGTGAGTCTCGATGTGTCGTGGTCACATCATGCCACGAATTTCACTAAATTGAGCCTTGTAGACTTCATTTCAAATTATGAGTGTGTGCCTCTTAAAAAGGTGTCTGGTTTATTGATACTGGAATTGAAATTATTTTTTAAGGGGAAACAAGAAAAGGATACTTTTCCCCTTTTATTCACTGTTGATGGGTTTGAATTTTATTAATATCATCATCAGCACCTTATCCCTAACTAGTTCGGGTGGATGAGTTGAAATATGTATTGCTAATTTATAAAGAGCTAAGATTAATTAACACCATTAACTCTAGCAAAAGAAATGGTGGCAATGTATACCTGATGCCCTTGTCTCCAAACCATTGCGTAGAAAGTAAAAAAAGAACAACGAGATGAAATCTTAAACAGATAACAATCCTAGTAAACATAGGGTATATATTAGCTATTCATTGTTGGGATCCAACAACAACAAACCTAGTAAGGTCCCACAAAAAGTAAGAGTTTGTAGAGGGTGCGTGTACACAAACCTTACCCCTACTTGGAGGTGAAGACCTTGCAAGGATATTTTATTATTTTAGGAGTTTTATTCCATTTTTAATTTGTTGCCAATTTTAGGATCTAATTATGTTAGGATAAGATTAGTCCGTTCTCGTCTATAATATTTAGGGATTTTCAGTGATCTTATCATATTATTATCCATTTGTTATCAGACTCTATAAATAGTCTCATCTATCTCTACTATTTTTATATTTGAGAAATAAACATATTATTATTTTCAATTGGAGATTCTTCATTGTTGGCTACTGTCTACTGAGAGTTATTGAGTGAGATCCTTGCTCAAAACATTCTTAACAGATTTTATCCTTTTCCTACTCATTTCCACTTCCCTTCCGATCGTAAACCAACATCATCATGGTTTATTTTCAGTTGCACAGAAAAATGAGACAATGATGCATTCAGGTATTTGTTGCTTTCATGTTCATTACAAGATTGATATTGAAAAATCAATTTGCAATCTAGAAACATGGCCGTTGTATTGTCATAATAGGCACATTATCTATTGTTATTTCCCAAAGTTAGAAAAGTTTGAATTTACATGGTATATGGGGTGTTCTGAATGACCAGAAACTCTGGATTTGAAAATCGTTGATGTTTCCATGTTTTTACTTTTTTTGTGCATCTCAGGTCTAGTGCACTTCTCATATAACTTGACTTGTGATCCTTAGACAGGGATGCAAGATGTCAGCTAAGGAGCTTGATAGCCTCTTATCTATTCTATCTGAGAAAAAAAAGAAAGCTGAGCTAGAAGAAACTGAGGCAAACTTGCAGCTTCTGTTCAACTTTATGCAGTGCTTAAGGAAGCAAAAATTTGATGAGCTTCATGAGGTAAGCCAAACTGACCTTTGTTTTGAATAGAAATGTAATTTTATTTTTGGTAGATATAGTACTATGTAAGATATGAAGTATAATGGAGATGGTGTTTTTGAAAAGGTCTTAAAAGAATAACATAATTTCCTTTCAATTCATTCTGATATGTGGGCGAAAAACATTAAAAATATTATGGTAGAACATGTCATTTTTTATGTTGACAAGCCAGAACACGTCATTGATTCTCCCATGCATTTCTGGCAGATTCAAAATGACCTTGAATATATTAAAGAAGACATAAGGGCTGTAGAGAAATGTAGATTAGAGTTGTATCGAGCCAGGGATAGATGCTCAGCAAAAACATGTATATTGAGGGGCCAATCTTCACAAAAAGGTCCTGTATTGCGTGACCAACATAGTTGTGGCACTATTCCAAATGTCCCTAATGCACAAGGAGAGCGCCTTGCAGTTTCCAACTGTCCTCAGGCCCGGATAACACAAGATCCTTTCCCTCATCAATTAATTCAGACAGAGGATGAACACAATGGGTCAGTTTCAGAACATAATGTAGCAAGGAGGAGACAAGTTCATGCACAGGTACCTTCTTTACATTTGTGTGGTTTAATCGTAGCATGATATGGTCATATTTGTAAGCCAGTTTTGTTTGACTAATTTATTGGTATGAGGGTGTTTCTGCACTTCTAAATATCATCAGTTCAGTGATCTGCAAGAGTGTTACTTGCAAAAGCGGAGACATTACGGCACAAAATCTCAGAAACAGGAAGAGAGTGTAGCAACCAACGGGACAAAAGAGCGATACAGTACAGGACTTGAAGAATTCCAATATATTTTCTCTGCATATACGCGATACAGGTCTGGTGTGTTCCTCATCTACAAGTTCTTTAGTTTCCTGGGATAGCTTCATGTTATTATGGTTATGCTTTATAGCTCAGACTTATAGTGTAACTCTTGTCTTACGTAGCCGATTGCAAGTTGTTGCTGAGTTTAGGCACACAGATCTTTTCCACACTGTCAATATCGTTTCAAGGTTAGCAATTTGTGTCCTTCCGTGCAAAAGTATTATTCATTTCTCAAGAGTTGGAAATTTTTTCTCAAATAACTGTAGAAGTTGCTGGTAGTTCTGTGGTTCTCATTAAAATCCAAGAGAGTTTGTGTTTTGAAAGTGTTTTATGATTGAACATGTAATAGTTTTTTATTCTATTTATTTATCCCCTCGCGCACGCACACACTCACGCCAACTTGGAGGCACTTTTCTTTTCTTGTTTAATATTCCTTGTACTATTGCAGTATAGAATTTAACCGAGATGATGAACTATTTGCTATAGCTGGAGTATCAAGGCGCATCAAGGTCTTTGATTTTGCTGATGTAAGTCCATATGAGAGGTTCATCATTTAACATGTCTTTTTTCCTTACACACACACACATCTTACACAAATTTCACAAGCGAATACACGTTCAAAGGAAAAGGCGATGTTTGTAATAATTTTAAGTTATGCAACGGCAGTCTTATTCCTCATTCTTATGCAAACCTTACTGATATTGATTGATATTAGTAGAAACGGGAGATCTTTATTCTTAAGCTTATGATCAATACTTCAGGTGGTAAATAAACCAACAGGTCTGCAGTGTCCTGTTGTGGAAATGCCTACCAGATCCAAACTGAGCTGTTTGAGCTGGAACAAGTACAAAAAGAATTACATAGCTAGCAGTGACTATGAGGGCATAGTAACTGTGTGGGATGTGACCACTCGTCAGGTGATTTTTTTTTGCATTTTCTATCCTTCAAAATACATCCTTGAGAAATTGTGCTTGCATAACTACTATTAACATGTTAATTTCTTTGGTCAGAGTATTATGGAGTGTGAGGAGCATGAAAAACGAGCATGGTGTGTTGACTTTTCATGCACTGAACCTTCTATGCTGGTTTCTGGAAGTGATGATTGCAAGGTATATGAGAGTTTGTGTTCTTAAAAAATATGCAAGCGCTTTAGAATAATAAATTCTTTTATGGTTAAAAAACTGGACCAGATGGTAGGACTGGGATATCCAGCTTGTAAGCCTATGCCTCTAGATCACAAATTCAGTTGTGTAATTGTCAGGCTTGGCATGCGGCTTCTCAAACGGCAAACCTGAGAGAAACAGGAATAATATGATATTTGTTAATATTAATGAGGTGTTAGTTAGAGCTGTTTTGAGTTCAGGGTTTTAATTGGTCATTGGAGAATAGCAGAGGGGCCAATTTGATCTTTTTTTCCCTTTTTATTTTCACTTCGTATTGTAAATATATGTAGTGGTTTCCTTTCTAGTGTATTCTCTCTCTCTCTCTCTCTCTCTCTCTCTCTCTTTCAACTTGAGTCTCATGTATATTATTATTATTAATTAATTAAAATATATCGTTTATTCATAATCGGCTGTACTAGTTTGATTCTTGATCCAACCAGTACCTTGATAATATTTTAATATCTGTAGTGTTTGTATGTAAAGAATGCATACTGGTCATGTGTTACACAAAGTGTATCAATGTATGCCATAAAGTGTCCCCCAACGAAAATTACATTGAAATGGGGGCTGATTTTGTGCTGTTGTCATGGGAGTCAAATATTTAATTGTCATTTGCATTGGCATGTACATTCTAGAGACTGTTTTTCCTAAAAAAATGGAAGTAGCTTTTGATTGATTGTTGACAAATAGGTGAAAGTTTGGTGCATGAGGCAGGAAGATAGTGTTCTAAGCATTGATATGAAAGCAAATATTTGTTCTGTAAAGTACAATCCTGGATCAAGTTTCCATGTGGCAGTATGTGATATTTCTTCTCTCCCACTTTTGAACATGTATTTGGATGCAGAAAGTATAGGAATTTTGGTGTCCCTAATTATTTAGCATGTGCCCTACAGGTTGGTTCTGCTGATCACCACATCCATTATTATGACCTGAGAAGTATTAAGCAGCCTTTGTATGTATTCAGTGGGCACAGTAAAGCTGTTTCGTACGTGAAATTCATGTCGGACAATGAACTTGCATCTGCATCAACTGATAGTACAATTCGTTTGTGGGACGTCAAGGCCAACATTCCAGTTAAGTATAACTCTCTTTGTTCCATGATAGTGTTTACAGCTTCGTCTTTCAGTTGTTCCATACCGGTGTTCTTATTTCCTACGAAGTAGGAAAATAAGAAATAAGAAAGAGCATACTTATTAGAACACTCCATTCACCCACTTTTTTTCCAATTCCTAGCCAACCCACCTTACATTTTCTTGCTTTTAATACACACTTGAAAGAAGACCTAGACCTACCTAGTTTGGGTTGGTGGCATGAATTTGCTTAGTGCTAATTAATTACCACTGAATTTTTGATTGGTTATTTACTCACTTTATTATGTGGTTATTTATTTTTGGGCTTTCAGCTGCGCACTTATAGAGGGCATACAAATGAACGCAATTTCGTGGGTCTCACAGTAAACACTGAATACATTGCATGCGGCAGCGAAAGAAATGAAGTTTTTGTTTATCACAAGGTTCTTCCCCCCCCCCCCCTCCCCTCTTTGCGACGAGAGTTGGATAAATTCACATATATTTGCATTTTTTGTGCAGGCAATATCTAAACCTGCGGCTTGGTACAGTTTTGGTCCCGATACGAGCGAAGGTGACGGAGAAATCGGAGGGGCACCGTGCTTCATCAGCGCTGTTTGCTGGAAAAGTGAATGCCCCACCATCCTTTGTGCAAACAGTCTTGGGGTTATAAAAGTCCTTTCACTTGCTGCTCGTTAACTGGTAACAACCCTTCATTAAACTAAACAGCGACTGTTATACAAAGTGCGTAATAATTTAGGCAATCGATTTTTGCGCTCGACATTTTGATGTAAACGCTCCAAGGCACCATTATTCGAAGAGTTGGAATAGTGATTCTGAAGCATTGGATTGTAAACATCAAAATGTCGAGTTCAAAAATCAATCGCTATAATTTACCCGTATTCGGTTTCTATTGACTCAATCATCCAATTCCTAATCCATGAATTTTGATATTGTGACATTGTGCCATTGTGGGCTGAGACATGTAAGTTTTATGTCTTATACGGAGTAAAAAGATATTGGGAACAAAGGGGATATTGACTATATTAATGTTGAGTGCCGTGTTAGGATTTCTGATTTGCAAGAGTTGGACTAAACAATAGGGCACTCTTAACTTAGGAGATACTCCTTTCGTCCCTGAATATTTATCTACGTTTGACTTTTAACGGTTAAAATTTGCAAATTTTGACCATAAATTCAATAAAAGTAATATTAGATGTTAATACAAAAATAATTTTATTAGATTCATTTTATAAAATATTTTCAAAATATTATTTTATACAATTAATATATAAAATATATTTTATTCAATTATAGGTCAAAGGTTAAAAATAATTGACTGTAAAAAATTAAAACGGGACAAATATTTAGGGACAGACGTAATAACTAGTTGTATATTCACAAACACTTAGCATTATTTATACAAGTTTACATTGTTATTCACGACAATTGTTGTTGCCTAAGTCAGTCGCCGTAGCAAGTTGGCATCCTTGGTGGTCAGCGGTGCTAGTCACTGCCGACCACTAGTATATCCAAAGAAAAGGTAATTTTGTTAGAATTGGACATGTCAAAAATGGGAAACCAATCCGATTTTTGGGCGTTTTCCGATTTGATCTAGGGCCTTTTGGGAATAGTGTTAGCGTTTTGGATAAAATTTTAACGGTGCAGATTATTTTGAAAACGCAAACGTTAAACGCTGGTCGTAGACAGCTTTTTCAAAACGCTAATGCTAATCTCTAACGTTATTCCCAAACTGGCACCTAGTTTTTCCGGTGGTTTCGGGGGTTGATTGGATCGATTTGGGGTTTGATTCCCAGTTTGTTTTAAATTTTAAAAACTGAAAAATGGTAAAAAAAAAAAATATTGTTGTGAACAAAATGTATAATGCGGAGTATTTGTGAATATGTGCAATAGTGGGTGTTTGATTGATAACTGTGTGTGATATATTATTTTTGTTTTTAGATAAACACCAATATCATTAATAATCAATTTAAAAAATCTTACATTCATATTCAAATTCATGCACCAAATAGAGTCAAAAGGTTAAACTATTAATTCAGCGATTTTCATCAAGACATCATGAACTTCTTAATAAGAGCTAGCTCAATATTTAAAAAAAAATTAAAATAAATCCCAAAAATGCTTAAAAATATATAAAATTAGAGTGAAAAATAAAAGCTCGCACAAAACAAGAAGAAAACCTAATTAATGTTCGGGGAGAAATTTTTCTTTGTTGAATAATGGTAATAGACGAAATGTACATCGGGACAGATTATACATGTAGATCTATGCCGCGTGAAGGTTGTGTGCTTTTTTCCATTTAGAAAAATTAAATTTTAACTTTTTGCTAATTCCTATTTCTTCCAACTCCTGCTTCTTTTTTAGTTTTTTCTACTTTCTTCCAATGACGAATTAAAAATGTTATTTATATATAATAAATATATAATAACATTATGTATTTAAATTTATAACATACTACCTCAAATACGAATAAGGATGAATTTTTTTATTCAAAATTAGAGTTTTCTTATATATTTATTTGGCTGATATTAAATTGAGTGATTTTTAAACACTTTAATTCTTTCGACATTTTCCAACTCTTTCTAGTTTTTTTCAACATCCAACTCTGAAATTCCAACTTATTCAAACTACTCAAGTATTCAATACCTATCTTTTTAATTAAAAAGACGCATTTAATTAATTTTAAACAAAATATAATTAAAACATTTTCTATTAAATTAAAACACATTTTTTAATTAAAATAATGGCCATAAGTTAACAAAAAACTACTCATAAAAAAGGCTTGAGTTTCGAGTAAAAGCTGACTAGTCTAACTCGAAATTACTACTCAAATTACTCCCTACCAAGTACTCGGGTAGGTTGCACTGGTGTACTCCAAGCACTCGAAAGTACTTGGAGACAATGGTCGGTTTCGGTCGGTTTTGGTTTGAATCTGAAAAAATCATTTTTTAAAAACCGACCGAACCAAAACTGAAAACCGCCTGTACAACATAAAAACCGACCGAAAAACCGAATTTTAATTACTTTTATTTTGAATTTTTAATATAAATTCAAGAAACTAATTCGGCAAGGTAGATTGATATGTATTAAATCAGTTTAGATAAAGACTTTTCTATTGTCATTAATTTAGTAAGGTAGATTAATTTTTATTTGAATATCCATTATCCATTTCATATAAAAGTTGCACTTTTCTTATTAATATGTTCAAAACATTAACAAATATTTTTTTTAAAAGTGAAACATTAAAGTTTTTCATGAAAGAGTAAGAAGAAAGTATATGTATTAATCAAATATTTTCTTATTCTAGAAAATAAAAAATAAATTAAAGTAAAATCATCGGTTATTCGGTCGGTTCGGTTTTTTCTTAGAAAAAGCCGAAAACTGATCGAAAACCGAAAATGCTTTTTACATGAAAACCAAAACTAAACTTTCAGTTATTTCAGTTTTCGGTTTCGCAATCGGTGTGGTTAATTTGCTCACCCCTAGATTAGCCCCCCCCCCTCCCCAAGGGTAATCCACCTATTCAAGCCAATGTTGAGTATCACATATTTGAGCTTGACCCGTTAAAAGTCTTGAACTCGAGTTCAGATTTAAAGCTTATTGAGCCGATCTCTTGAGTCACGCATAGATGGTTATTATTTCTAACTATGAAATAAGTTTATGCTCTTAATTACCAAAATCTAGTTCTTTGGTCTCGAGAATTGCAAGAATTGCGAGAAGTGCGTTGGTCTTAAAATGGTACAAGGGCCAAGTGAATCATACTCGCAATTCTCGTCCGTGGGAACGACGCACTCCCTATCTAGCATTTTAAGACCAACGGTGGAACGTTTTAAATTGTTCAGATATATTTGATGTACCTTTTAATGTCCATGGATAAATCGTACAATTTTTGAAGAGTTCAAAGCAATTTGTGTACTTTTTAATGTTCAGAGGTAAACCATGCAATTTCCAAAAAGTTCGGGAGTAAACGATGTACTTTTTTCTTTGATAAAATAAATATTCTTATTGCCTCTTATTTTTTAAAACTTTTGATATAATTTTAAATATATAATTTTTAGTTTCTATATCAATCCCAATTTATAAATTAAAAATCATTTCAAAAGTAACGAGAATTTATACGTTGGTTGAAAAAAAACTAAAAAAGACAATTCAACAAAAAGAACAGGGAGTATAATTTTTTATTTTTGTGTGTCAAATCTAAATCCAATGGGTTTATTGCATTTTTTGGGGTAAAAATGTCCTACCATGTGGAATGTTGGGAGATTCCCAAGAATAAAACCGCCCCCCACTTTATACACATACGTAGAGATGCTAAAACCGTACGCGTACAGTTCCATTCCCCGATGAATATACGCCCGCCGCAAACCAGTAGTCAATGCTAACTTTTCTGATTGGCGCCAACGCAATGAGGCTGGAGAATCCCGAGCCGCCCATGTGTAACGCGATCGCCGCCTCCGGCCCCGCCGGGGAGACCTCGCCCGCAGCCGAGGTTGACGGCGCCGAGGAGGGACTCTTAGTTCCGCCGCTGAATTTCGCCATGGTGGATTACAGCGTCTTCCGTTCCGGATTCCCCGATCCTTCCAACTTCCCGTTCCTGCAAACCCTAGGCCTCCGCTCTATTATGTAGGTTGTTTATGTCGTCTGGAGGTTATTGCTGTTTTTGCTGCTTCTGATTTTGGTTTTCTTTTCTCTGATGATTGTGATTGTTTTTGGGTAGATGTTTGTGTCCTGAACCGTATCCTGCGGCGAATCTGGAGTTCCTCAATTCGAATAGGATTCAGCTTTTCCAATTCGGCATCGAAGGATCAAAGGTTTGATCTTGTTTCTGCAGGCCTATAGCTCTGCTAAACTAATTTTTGCTTCAAGTCAATATGTTTTGTGATAAATATCATGTGATTCAATCACCTTTTGCTGAGAAGTTGAGATGATTCTGTTACTCTTAGAGTCTTAACTTTGAACCTGTTATCTTTATTGCTACAATCTACAACTTTGTTTGGATGTTTAGTGATGTGATCCTAGAGCCCCATTAAGACTTAAGAAGTTGTTTGACAAGTTCTTCCTCTGTCTAGCTCAACTTTTCCAACTTGGAAGGAGTGTGAGATATTTATGCTTACCATAACATCCTTGCCTGGAAATGGAAATCCTATTCCCTATTAGCCGGTTGAGATTAAAGCTTCATTTATCTCATCTCACGTAACTGGCCGGGCCTAAGGGGACACTAGGATGAGTTTCTTTTTTTATTTTTTGAAAAAATACTTCTTGGCTAAAGGACAACTTTTAGAAGTATGGAACTACGAAGTACTCCGTATTTGATAAAGCGTTTTTTGGCTTTGAAAAACTATGGAGTAGTTTTCGTGTCTTTTTTTTGGAGCAATTGCATTTCAAGCTTGGTTTATGAAAAGATTTTTCTTTCAATCTTTTTAAAAGAACTTTTTAAACATCTAAGAATGATCAAGGTGCCAAACCTTGAGCAAAATGTGGGTGATTTGCCGATAATTATTATGCAATACGAGTATTTGCTGACAAATTGATAGAATTTAGGATTGGGGTATGGATAACTGGATTGGGCAATAAGACACTTGGGTTGAACCGTGTTAAAAGATTGAATCCAATCGATTAGTTAGTTCAACTCAAGAGCTTATATAGCGATTATTTTTCTCACAGTTTTCCGATGTGGGATACTCTTAACACTCTCCCTCAAGTGGACAACCGGGCCATTTTGAATCTAACCGGTTGACCACTTGCAAATGAACTCTCATTCCCTTGCCTTTTTTTTGAGCGCCAACACCTAAAGGACCACGAGCCGCTGGGTATGAACTTCCAGACGAGCAATCGTGTTAAACAGGCCACAGGCCGTTGGGTACAACATCCATACGGACAACTGGGCTAAAGACTAACTGGCCGCTAGGAATGAACTTCTAGACGGACACCTTGACAAACGAGGTGGGCTAAAGTTGGCTCTGATACCATAATAGAATTTAGGATTGGGGTATGGATAACTGGATTGGGCAATAAGACACTTGGGTTGAACCGTGTTAAAAGATTGAATCCAATCGATTAGTTAGTTCAACTCAAGAGCTTATATAGCGATTATTTTTCTCACAGTTTTCCGATGTGGGATACTCTTAACACAAATCATTATTAGGAAGTTCTAATTTTGGGTCTTGGGGACTCTGGTTGAAGTTCCTTCATCTGGTAAGTAATAACTGGATGCCGGGAGCACTAAGTAGAAAAGAGTGCAAATTTGCATTATCATTATGCTTGGTTCAAGGAATTAGGAAGGAAAGGAAAAGAAAATGATTTCTCTCCTTTTCCTCACAAAAATAAAAGGAATCAAGTTTTCCCTCTTCTTAGCTTATTTTAGCTTATCATTTTCTTTTCCTTCCACTTTTATTTTCTTTTCCTCCCTAACCAAACATGAAAAGTGGTTTTCCATATCATTGTCTTTTCTTTTCCTTCTCAAAATCCTTGAACCAAACATAGTCTATAAGTTCCATTAACTAACTGCCATTTCTTTGAAAATCAAAATGTTGAAAGTGCAGTTGCGGTTTCATGCATTTCCATTTCACACATTCATAGCATTGGCATGGTTCAATTTTTGAACTGTAATGTGCCATAGCTTTATTTGCACAATCCCTTTTCCTCCCCATATTTTACTAATGGCATGCAGATTGCCTTCCTATGCTGAAACCATAAAAGAACTCCACCATTTTCATCAACTGCAGCTTGATGCTAGGAGTTCCTGGCCCCTAACTGATTTAATCCTCCAAATTTGTTTATTCTCACCTAACTAAAAATTTTGCTGTTGTATTCTGAAATTATGTAAATTGAGAGGTGTTAACTGTTTAATGTTCAGGAGCCATTTGTAAACATTCCAGTGGATATGATACGGGAAGCACTAAAAGTTGTCCTTGGTAATAATCTGAGGGTCCATAGCATTTTCTTGTTCACTAGATAGGTTTCCTCACGATTTCTCGTGTTACCCATGTAGATGAAAAGAATCATCCGCTGCTTATTCATTGTAAAAGGGGAAAGGTATGCTTTTTTCTTCTCCTGATATTAACGTGATTTCGTACTTGATTCATAAGATGACATGATTACCCCTGCCATTTCTCTTGTGCTGCAGCACCGTACAGGTTGTGTGGTGGGGTGCTTGAGAAAGATACAGCGATGGTGCCTCACGTCCATTTTTGACGAGTACCAGAGGCATGCTGCCGAAAAGGCTAGGGTCTCAGACTTGCGATTCATAGAGCTGTTTGACTTCAACCAGCCAACACAATTCATTTCATGCTCAAAGAATTGACGATTAGGTATGAAAATTGCAGTTTTGATCGCCTTCTTTTCTTCTTCTTCCAGTTTCTATGTTATGGAATAAAAAGGATAATGGGCTTTTTCGTAATTCTAAATTTTGATTGTGTTCCATTCTGATAAATGATAATGTTGCTATGGGATTTTGTTAGATTGAAGAAATGAGAATGCAAGAAGGATTTAAAAAGAAAAGGAGTTACTGGTACAAGTGACTGGACCTTCTAACTAACACATGGCTCAAGATCACTCCAAATGGTGGGATCCATGTTTTGTTTTTGGTACATAATAAAAGAAGGTTAAAATCTCAAGCCTACACGTTTTATTTTTTTATTTAGGATGTGCGCATCATTGGTGTTAGACTTCTAATCCATTTTGCCTGGTAGAAATGACGACTGCCAAACAAGCCATCATAGACAAGCGCCCTTATCATCTTCCACTTAGAATCATGTCTAGCTAGCTCATATCTCTAGAAACACAGTGGAACAATGATTTCATAGCCCACGACACTACTATCCATTTTTATTCACTACACAAAGAAATTGGAAACCTGTTCACGAGCAAGTACGTACCATTCCTGACAAAACTTTTGCACATATCAATGTCAAAACTTTTTCCTCAAGGAGATAATCGTCAAACTTTGCTCTTACTACAAACTTAGTTTGAGTCTTAAGCACATGAGTATTTCATATTTTCCCCTCCCTAAGATTTTCCATGCTATGAAATTGTCTCATCCAGCGATAGCGATATTCATATCCAACTTTACTATTGGTACTCTCCATGGGTTAGATCCCGGTTCTAAGTCTTCGCCGATTAAGCTATGCCCTTAAACATCTTTAAAACATGGTTTGTGAGCCGAGTTAGATTCTCTTAGCTCTATATGCTTTCCTAAATTCCTGTTGTATGGAAAATGTTGGCATTTGCTGTTTTCCTTGTTTCTTGCTTTTGAAAACTAGTTCTAATCCCTAATATTAAAACACTCAAAAAGAATATTTTGCTACTCCCTCCGTCCGGGAATGATGTTCCCATTGTACGTTTTTTTTGTCCGGGAATGATGTTTCCATTCTACGCTTTTTCCTCTAATCTCCCTAAAATATCCTTTCTTCCAATTCTTTTCTTCCTTCTTTTCTTTCTTTTCTTCCTTTCTTTTTTCTTTTCTCTTTCCTTCTTTTTTTCTACGCCACTCCTTTCCTTATCTCTTCAATTTTTTTCTTTTTCTTCTCTCCTCTTTCTGCTCCATCTCTGCAAATCCTCTCTTCAATCTTCTTCTTCTTCTTCTTGTAATCCTCTCTATAGTCTTTCTTTCTACTCCATCTTTCTTCTTTGTCTTCCCCTTCTTCTTTCTCCTCCATCTTTCTTCTAGATCTACACATACACATGGGGGCAATTGTGGCAGCGGCGATGGTGGCGTCTGGCGATGGCGATGGAGATGGCGAGTCTGCACTGCTTCCTCTCTTTCTTCTTTTCTTTCTCCTTATTTTTTCTTTTAGATCTATACCACAATTGCGCCGAAGGTGGAGCTGCGCGCTGATGGTAGGGTCCCGACGGTGACGGGGCTGCAGCGGCGATGGTGGTCGATTAAATCTGCAGTAGATCTGTTTCTTTTTCTTCTTCTCCTCCTTGTCATCTTTCTTCCCCTTCTTTCTCTCTTTTCTCTTTCTCCCATATATGGTCTTGGTGGAAGCTATGGGTGATAGTCGGACTGGTGGTGACGGCGGCTGAGGTGATGGTCGTCGTTTGGGCTGGCAGAGATAACAACGCCGACAGGTGGGGGCAGCGGTGGGGTGAGATTGGTGGCAGTGGAGGTTTGGGCCGGTAGTGGCCAGTGGGTGCTGTTTGGTGGCTAGAGATGGGTGAAAATGTGTAAGGGTATTTTAGTCTATTCATTCCCTTAGTCAATGCTTCTTAAAAATTATGAAAAGTCAAAGTGGGAACATCATTCTCGGACGGAGGGAGTATATCCTTTGTTTCAAGATGAAGTTTCCCTTCATTATTCAAGATCAAACTTTATCATTTGTTTTGTGTATACTAGTCACACATTTGATAACATATTATTCTATATAATCGTTCTATTTCTTATTTTGTAGAAATTTTTATATAGTTTTTGATGGGTATATCCTTATACCCGACCCGGATAACCAAAAGGGACAGGTCAAAATATGACCGGTCACTTTTATCACTCACCAAATGAGGTTAACTCTTCGATTGAGACGGGTCAAAAAGTTGACCGGTTACTTCCACTAAAAAAGTGACCGGTCACATTTTGGGCGTTAGCCAATTCGTCACTTCATGTTATGAAGGATAGTCCAGAGAACCAAAGAGACGGGTCGAACTCAAGGAATGACAGGTGGGAGGCTGAGGGGCTGACACGTGTGAAAGGGTAATGATAAGGGAGAAAATTTGAATTTTGAATGTGGAAGGTGAAAGGTTTTGGAGGGAAATTCCAAAATTAAAAAACCAGGCCAGATGCTTGGACTCCCCCGCATTGTCCAAGTGTGACAGGTCAAAGAGAAGGGTTAAATCAGATCTAAAAGGACAGGTCTTTGATGGCAGGTCAGCGACGGATCCAAAAAATGAAAGGTTATGGGATAGCTTATTGATTCAAAATGGACAGGTCAGATAGAAAGGCTTCAGGACAGGTCTTAGAGGGAAAGGCTTGATGATTCAAAAGGACAGGTCAATGAGAATGACTTGATGATTTCAAAGAAGGACAGGTCTTGAAAAGGAAAGGCTTGATCATTCAAAGAAGGACAGGTCTTGAAAAGGAAAGACTTGATCATTCAAAGGGACAGGTCATGAGAGAGACTAGGTGATGTGATATGACTGGTCAGCAAGGGTCACTTGATGATTTCAAAGTGTGATAAGTCAGCACAAGTATACTTCCCGCCCATGATGATTTCCTCACAAGGCCGGTAAGTGGAGGACTTCTTGATGGGTATATCCTTATACCCGACCCGGATAACCAAAAGGGACAGGTCAAAATATGACCGTCACTTTTATCACTCACCAAATGAGGTTAACTCTTCGATTGGGACGGGTCAAAAAGTTGACCGGTCACTTCCACTAAAAAAGTGACCGATCACATTTTGGGCGTTAGCCAATTCGTCACTTCATGTTATGAAGGATAGTCCAGAGAACCAAAGAGACGGGTCGAACTCAAGGAATGACCGGACAACTTGGAGGAAAGGTGACCGGTAAGGTTGCGTCACTTGGGAATGGCAATCAACGGCAGAGGCCAGGGGACCACCCCGCCGTCCGTCCGTCACGAGGCAAATAGTGAAAGGAACATTTGTCACTTTGCATGGCAGATTGGATTGAGAATATTCTTCATAGTCTTTGATTGAACAGTACATGTCTTGGCTTGTAGTTGCTAAATTCATTGATTGAATAGTAGATTGATTATGTACAGTGACCTTCCCACGGGCTTCCTATTTTGTCCATGGATGAACAGGGAGAGGTCATAAGTCCTCCTCTATAAATATGATGATATTGGATAGAGGAGGGGATCAATTCTTTCTCTCACTAAAAATAGTACACTCTTGAGACAGAGTAAGAAATATAATTCGGACTGAGGAGATTTATCCGGTCTAGGTCATACTTTGTGTTCTTGTTGTGTGTTTTATATTACGGGTCGAGTGTCCAGGTCAAACCCGGTTTACCCACCCATCTATATTTACACCATCAGTTTTATACCCTAATCCGTAATATATAAATCTTATATTTTGATTCCACACTGATTTTCTAATAAATTTATTTAAAAGCAACTTCATTTTGGGAGGGAGGTAGAGGTAGTGGGTTTTTATAAATTGGATCCTAAGAACGTTTTAAAATAGTTTGAATATTTTCAATTTATAATTACGAATATATAGTATGTATACGAATTAAACCTAACAAATGCTACCAATGTTCTTTCCTCCACGCCAATGAGCATTAAGTCATTATTTGAGAACAACGTTTTCAATTGACATTAGTGTTTTGAATAATTTTTTAACGATATAGATTAAGTTTGAAAATGTTTAAATTAATTGTCATTGTTAGACAACATTTTTGAAATATTGAAATTGTTGCCAAAGATATTCTAAGTATTCAATGACTAATTACTCCCTAGTCACGCTGTGAGGATTGCATTGACCCTTTATTTATGTAAAAGCTTTGTTGTGAAGATTAAAATTTAGAAATTGAAGTTTTAAGTGTGATATTCTTAAATGTGGAGTAAATTTTAACAAAAATTTGGATGCTCAGTGTCATCTTTGGGCTGGTCACATTTACAATGTTGATCATGATCATATATATTACCAAAAAGTATAATAAAATGTAAATGCATAATATCATATTATTACAATGCAAACTTCTATTTAGGAAATAAAACTATGAAATTCTATTTTGGTGCTTTGTCTATATATCACTCCTAAAAGTTTATCCCTTTTTTTAGGAAACTTTAAAGAGTTGTTAGTGTGAACAATTAGAGTTTGTTAGTAAGTTTTGTGCAATTGGCAAAGGCAAAGTGTGCTAGTGAGATAAGATACGAGTTCGATTCGTGGCAATTGTGATGGAGGAACACAATACTAAGTATAAAGCTTCTGCAAATATCAGATGCAAGTAACACTCTTTGCCACCAATTTATAATTAAAGTCTAATTTATTTTTTTCACTAATCACTGGGTTTGAGATAATGGTGAAGGATGAGAGGCTATCTTTTTTTTTGTGAATAATTGGAGGTAAGATCAGTCCTTAGAGTCCTTAGAGTCCTTAGAGCATCTCCAACCTTGTATACTATATTCGCTTGTTATTTTTATATTTTAACAAGTGAATAATGACATAACAAGTGATATTTTGTTACATTCTCCAACCATGGCTTGCTAATCCATTCTACAACTTTTAGCTTCCTATAATTTGAAGAGCTTGTTATATTTAACAAGCTAAAGTCATTTTTTGGCAAGCTTGCTAAAATTAAACACACCCATCGGAGAAGAAAAAAATAGGTTGACTTGCTATATTATAACTTTTAGCAAGCCAAAGTAGGATGATTGGAGATGCTCTTAGAGATGAGGCTCTCCTTTGTTTTTGTTTTTTTTGTGAATAATTGGAGTTAAAAGATCAGTCCTAATTAGGGAGTAGTGAACAGTGACGTGACCTAATCTCAAAAGTCAATTTTGCAGCTGTGCGAAATGAGATGCCTAAATAGCTCAACAAGACACATGTGGTTACCCTTAAAATATGGGGCTACATAAAGTCAATTTGTTGCCAAAACTACCCTTTCAATCCACTGACTAAGACACACACACTTATCAATCAACAGACCTCCCACCTCTCAAACGTCACAGTTACTCCATCTCTCTCTCCCCCCTAAAACAATGCCAATTTATGTTTTGGGACTCTAACTTCTGGCATCATTTTTATTTTTTAACAAAACAAAAAAAGATAAGCCCATCCTTGAGGGCTCGCTCAGATAAAGTTATCACTGAGAAGCGATAAATCAAACTTTAATCATAAATTGATGGTAAAGGTTATAGTTTGGTACTTGTAGAGGCTCTACCTCCCAACACAGTTGTCAGAAATCGAACTCAGGTCTTACCCTCTTGACACCCCTTGCCTTGCTAGCTACGTAACGCCCACCGGCTCATTTTTATTTTTCAACAACACTTGTCCATGTAGATATTGGGAGGATCTCCGATTGGGGGTATATATATTTTTTAATAGTACTCTTTTTTTTTTGAAATATTCATATAAAAACATTGGAACGTCCATCCTGGGTGTCCTCACACTCCAGCCCGACAGGATAGTGAAGAAGACAGATTGTCGTACAATCTTAATCTAATTTTTAGAGAGATCGTCCCGTATTTGGTGCGTAGAAGGAGTTATTATAAAGAATAAATGTTGGATGCATATCAAATGTCTATAATATGATGGAATTAAAAATTGGGTAAATTTGGTAATTTTCAAAGTTTAATACTCCCTCCGTCCCACTCTTTTTATCCACTTTCATTTTTATACACCATCCAATACATTTATTCAATCCATTTTATCTTGTAATTTGTATATTAAAAAATTATAGAAATTATATATTAATAATCTATATGTTAAGACAAATCAAACAAGATCACACATGACTATATTTAAGCTTACATATTGAGAGAATTTGATGAGTCAAAGTGCTTAGATGAAAAATTTCAAAAGTTAAAACTGGACAAAAAGAGTGGGACGGAGGTAGTACTCTTTAAAGATTATTTATGTTTAAAAAACCGGAAAATTATAAATCAATTTACAGTCCTTTTTTTAAAAAAAGAAGCGTTGGGATAATAAGAGTAGGGAGAGAGCTTTCCCACTAATCCATGAATCAAATTACATCACACCTATAGGCCTCCCCTGCACCAACTACTAGTCTACTACTCTTTAATTTCTGGTGGATAATAATGGGTTTTATTATAATGAAACGCCAATTTCGAGCTTCCCAGTTCCCACACTCTAAATTCGATAGAAGAGCAAAAAGGTAAATACGGAGAAACCAATAGGATGCCCCATTCCCAAGAACTCAACTAGATCCAGCTAGACGGTCACTGAGAATGCGAAGAAGTAAATTAAACTTTGATCGTATATTAATAGGTAAAAAATGGAGTCTGTACCTGATATTTGCAGAGGCCATGTATAGTATAGTTGCCACGAATCCAGATTTTATCCCCTTGACACTTTTTATCTTTGGTAACTGCGCATCGCCCATGGGTCGCCTGGTTTAGATAGATTATATTACTCGTCTATCCGGTGCATACAATGAGTTATCACGCTGATTAAAACTTATATATTCTTGAAATCAATCATGAGACCTCGAACTCAACACTCATCTCTCTCTAGATATGCTACCATTGCAGATGTACGGGTAATTTGATTGGTACTGAGGTAGGATGTTAAGTATAAAATCCTACAATTTACGGAGTATTTCTGGCAGTAATAGTATTATGTTGCTTAGCACGGGTAATTTTAATACTTTCACTGTCCCTAAATGTTTACCATATTTCAAAAAATGAGGTAAAATATCAAAATTTTTCAATTCATTTTATTTAAATAATGGTATAGAAATAAAAAATAAAATTTATATATTTAAAAATTACATGAAAAAATTCTTCAAAATAATAGGTGTCAATAATATTTTATTTTATCAAATAATCAATGAAAACTTATAGATAAACAAAAGCTCTCGTGATAGTTGAAAAGGGGAATGTGGCAAACATTTTGGAATGAAGGGAGTAATAATAATTGTGCTTAGTTATATGCTTTGTTATGGCCAAGTTCTGTTCAATTACTTTTTTCTACTTATTACTTATTTTTATTATAATCAGTTCGGATCAGATCAGACTAAATCATATTTGGCCTGATCTTTAAAAAATCAAATTAGATTAAATCAAATCAGGTAAAATAGAATGCACCATATATTGTGATTGATGGAAGTGCCTAAATACTAATTATGCACTAATTTGGGCAAGAGTAACGTTAGATGTCTCCTACAACATATATCTGTGTGTTCGATAGAAAAATTTTATCTTTGAAGTGCAAGATGTTGGAGTTGTAATTTAATTGGTGTATGGTCTAATTGTATCACTTTTCACCAAAATCAAAATCTAGAAAAATATGTAGAATCAACATTGGATATAAATAAAGATCATGCTACATAGAGCATGTACAATGGCAAGGCGAAAATAGAATGTCACACGTTGACATGAAACATTTTAACCAATCAAAAATAATCTAGTTAGCGTGTGGCAAGTAAATGGAGTGGCAAGTTCTACAATGGCAAGTCATTATTTTTTATCATTTTTTTACATTTTTTTATGTTTTTTAAAAATAAAAAATATTTTTATTATTTATTATATTAAAAAATTATTCTACTTTTTTGTACATTTTTTTTTTCAAAAAATAAAATAAATTATTTTTAAAAAAAGAAAAAAAGTAGTATGAAGTGTCACACTCATACCTCACCAAGCAAGACATTTTGGCTTTGCCATGCCATGATATGAGTGGAAGAAGCTCATGTGGCAGTGCAAGACATCCTTCTTCCTTGTCATTGCACATGCTCTTATATACTCCCTCTGACCACCATAGATCTTTCCAGACACTATTCACAGGGTCAAACTTAATTCACTTTGTTTGCTTATTTTTACTACTCATTTTACAAAATAATATATTATTATCACCTCTAATTTTGTAGAACTTTTAATGTAGTTTATTACTATATAAATTTTACATTAAAATTTTACCTCTATATTCAAATAAATTAAATTGAAAATAAAACCAGTCAAGCCTCGTAACACGCAATGGAAAGATGTTAGGTAGACGGAGGTAGTACTCTTTTGTACATAAAACCTTTGCACGGACACATAATGTCACTAATGCACTTGTATTTTGTGCTAGTTGCAAAATTTAGGTCTACAAAATGGTGTATACGGAGTAATGTACTAGCAGCGTTATTGTATAAATAATTCTAATCATTACTTAAATCAGGTCAAAATGTTCTCAGTTCAATTTTTTAAGATTTTTTTTTTAAAAAAATGGTGCATCTAGTTGACAAATATAATGCACTATTTAATGAAATAAAAAATACTCCTTCCGTCCCAGAAAGATTTACACGTTTCAAAAAAATTGTGTCCCACAATCCCTTACCCATTTTTATTAAAAAACCACTTTTACCCCTTACTTTTTCAAACCCTACCTATCACATCATACTTTTTTTCTAATAATCTACACATCACATCATACTTTTACCCATCACATCAAAGGTATTTTTGGAAAGTCAATACATAATTATCTCTCCCTTAATTTCTACTTTAGTCAAAACGTACTCATCTTTATGGGACGGAAGGAGTATATACTTATACTAAACTACGGAGTACTCCTTCTGTCTCTGAGTATTTGTAAATTTTGACTTTTTTCGATCAAAATAAGTAAATTTTGATTTCAAATTAAATAAAAATGATAGTAGATATTGATACAAGAATAGTTTTATTAGATTTATTAATAAAATATTTTTAAAATATTATTTTATCCAATAAATATACCATACTTATTTTATTTAATTACTCCGTATATGTTAAAGATTGAAAATAGTTGACTGAAAATGGTCAAAATTTGACAAATACTCAAGAACGGAATTAGTATCTGATCGGCGGAAGGATAGGACCCAATTGAAAAGCAGGAAAGCACGGTGCATAAACTTATTCATGAACAATAATACTCCGTAATACTTCAATTCGTATAATTATGATTTTACAAAGTGGATATATTGTACTCCGTATCTATACTAGATTCAATGATTAATTAATTAAGAGTGAGGGTATATTTACTCATGCATGAACTATAATAATACTTGAATTCGTATAATTATTTGGAGTACATTGCATTAGCGTACACGTACAAATATTAAAATCAAATAAATAATGATAAAAATAAAATACAATGATATAATGATAAGTACCATGTGTAATCACGTAATAAAATTATAAAAAAAAAGACTCCATGCACAATAATACGAGCATCCAATAGATTACTTTCAATCTCTTAATAATGATTATTAATTCGTGTATTCTTATCGCTTGTTTTATAAAATAAATATACGTTAAACATATCCGTATAAAATAGGTAAATTTTATTTTTGGTCCATTCAATTTTTTAATTTAAATATAATCATTCTTTATAAATTACGGAGTATTTATTTTAAAAAAGGTCCTTGAATACAATTAAGATTTAGTGTTGGGACTGCGTGTGCCCTCACTCCAACCCCGCATTTGTATGATATTGTCCGCTCTGAACCAAGCCCTAACGGGCTTGTTTTTGGGCACCTCCCAAAAGGCATCATACTAATGAGGTTGGGTGAACCTATATATTTTGGTCTATTTTTTCTTCTCCCTCCGGTGTGTGACTTGGAGAAATCCCAACATCCCAACATAGTAATGGGGTTGGGTGAACCTTTATATTTTGGTCTATTTTTTCTTCTCCCTCCGGTGTGTGACTTGGAGAAATCCCAACATCCCAACATAGTAATGGGGTTGGGTGAACCTTTATATTTTGGTCTATTTTTTCTTCTCCCTCCGGTTTGTGACTTGGAGAAATCCCAACATCCCAACATAGTAATGGGGTTGGATGAACCTTTATATTTTGGTCTATTTTTTCTTCTCCCTCCGATGTGTGACTTGGAGAAATCCCAACATCCCAACATAGTAATGAAGTTGGGTGAACCTATATATATCTTACTTATAATCTTAGCTAGGGTCTCCTTGGTGAGTAAGCTAGATACGAGTTTTGATAGATGAGATATCAAATTCATTCCGCCAATTTTTTCCAATTTCAAATCGATTAGCTCTTCATCAGCTTGTCAAATGACTTTATCTTCTACTCCGTAGATTAAAATTTACCCAAAAATAAGTAAAATTTGTCTTATCTTTCATATATTTTTCCGGCTAATTTTTTTGTGATCTATTTTTTTATTTTTTATTTGTCTATGTAAAAATGAGTGTGATCTAAAACATTTTTTTTCTTCTAATTGTGATTTCATTTCTTAAAATTGATTTTTATAAAATTAAACTAATAAACTATTTTAATTGCAATAAAATGTACCGTTAAATAAAATAAAAATTCCATTAACAAGAATTAAATAATTTTAAATTGATATTTTAAATAAATCACATTTCAGCTTAAATAATACGTCTAGGATAAAATATTATCCAACTCTTACAATTAATTTCTAAATTGCTCACCAAATAGCTATAATTATGGTCTAATTTCATTTCTATTGCTTTGTACCTCCAAACGCTTTTCAGTTATATTTCAAAACACATACTACCTCCGTCCCAGAATATTTGTCCACTTTCATTTTTACACACCATCCAATACACTTCTTTAATCCATTTTATCTTATAATTTGTATATTAAAAAATTATAGAAATTATATATTAATAATCTATATGTTAAGACAAATCAAACAAGATCACGCATGACTATATTTAGGCTTACACATTGAGAGAATTTGATGAGTCAAAGTGCTTAGATGAACAGTTCCAAAAGTCAAAACTGGACGAATATAGCGGGACGGAGGGAGTATCATTTGTCCCTTTCCGACAAAGAAAGAGCATTGGTGCATATTTTCTAAACCATAGGGGGAGCAAATGCTCATTTATTATTTTTCATTTAATACTTTCTTTTTTTGACTTTTTTTATCTCTTTGTTTCTTTCCTAGAAAAGTGTTTAAAATTTCTTTTAAATTTCTAATAATTTTTTTTAAAATTTAAAATTCTTTGTGTTTGAAATAAAAAAAATAACATATACACCATCTATCTCAAATTAAACATTTTAACTTGTTTGTTTTCAAAAATAATATACTACCACCGTCCCTGAATATTTGTCCACTTTCATTTTTACACACCATCCAATACATTTCTTTAATCCATTTTATCTTGTAATTTGTATATTAAAAAATTATAGAAATTATATATTAATAATCTATATGTTAAGACAAATCAAACAAGATCACACATGAGTATATTTAGGCTTACACATTGAGAGAATTTGATGAGTCAAAGTGTCTAGATGAACAATTCCAAAAGTCAAAATTGGACGAATACTCCAGGACGGAGGGAGTATTTGGTAAGTTCAAACAGAAAATCAAAAATAAAAAAGTAAAAATATGGAAAAACAAAATGAAAAAAAATAAATTATCTAAAAAAAAATTTATACAAAAAGGAATTTTTAGCACGTCTAAAAAGGTCCTTAGAATTAGGATGTCTAACAAGGATATTTATTTTAATTTTTTCTTTTATTTTATTTTTATTTTTATTCCTCATTTTTTGAAGTTCTCAAAATAGGTTTTTAATTTTTTTTATTTTAGAGAAGAAAAAATAAAAATTGTTAATTTAGACGCACAAATGCAGTATATGTTAATTTCATTTTCCAAAAAAATTGAAATTTTAAGAAACATTATAAAAATTTAAGTTTTTGGTTGAATGAGTTTCTTGACATAATGACTTACCAGTTACCCCTGTAGAATTCATCACTCCATTCATATATCCACTTGCTGACATAGACTATTTTTTATTATTTGAAATAAGTAACATCAACATGTGTCATTTCATTTTTGTCTCGTCATTGTTGAACTTCTTAAATGTTATGTTCCCTCCGTCCTATAATGATCTTCCCGGTTCATTTTACGAAGTTTGACCGACTTTATTTTCAATTCAATTTATTTGATTGTAAGTGTAAAATTAAAAAAATAAAAATTATATATTTAAAAACTATATCAAAAGTTCTACAAAACAAGTGGTGACAAGACTATATTATTTTATCAAATACCTAATGAAAATGGATAAAGAAAGTGATTAAAGTTTGACCGTGTAAAAAGTGTGTGGGAAAAACATTATAGGACGGAGGGAGTAGTTCTCACTCGAGCTCACCCAAACCCAGGTTCATCCTTAATTTTAAGTTTTCTTTTTTCTTTAGAAAAAAAGATAAGATTCCGTGCACGGCTCACAAGGTGCACACAACTACCATTATTACATTTATTCAGTACCCCCC